TGTTGTTGTCAAGTGCCGTCGAGTCGGTCCCTACTCATAGTGACCCTGTGTAGGGTTTCTGAGGAGCAGCTGGTGAGTTTGAATCACCAGCCTTGGAGTTCAAACTGACCTTGAAGTCCAGTGCATTAGCCTGTAGTGCTACGCCAGAACTACCCTAGGGGTCCTAATTTGTGGCATAAATAGGCTCTCAGACATAACTAAAAATGAACAAACAGCAGAAAATAAATTAGATGACTAGGACCTCCTAAAAGTGAAACTTCAGTGCTTCAAAAAAGTTCCCCAAAAGAATAAAAAGAAAACTTATAGACTGGGAAAAATTTTGGCAGCAATATATTTGACAAGGGACTAATTTCAACTTGAACACCTCAACAACAAAAAGAAAATAATTCAGTTAAAAAATGGATAGAGGAGGACATAAATAGACACTTCACCACAGAAGAAATTACAGGCTGCCAATAAACACATGAAGAAATATTTCACTAGCCATTAGAAAAATGCAGATCAAAACAATATTCCGATACCATCTCACCCCAGCAATAAAAGGGAAATTCAAAGCAATAGAATACACCAAATGCTGGAGAGGGTGTGTAGAGATCGAAATTCTCTTAACACTGCTGGTAGAACTGTAAAATGGTCAACCACTGGAAAACTGTGTAAAGCTTCCTTAAAAACCTAGAACTTGAAATATCGTGTGACGTAGCAATTTCCCTACTACTACTAGGTGTGTACCCTAGAGAAATAAGAGAGGTGACACTGATAGATGTATACTCACCCTTGTTCATTATTTACCACAGCAAAGATGGGAACAAACTAAGTGCTCCTCAATGGAAAAATGGATAAACCACGGGACATACATACAATGGAATACTACACAGTGCTAAGGAATATGAAGAATCCATCGTGAAATAAGTCAGTCACAAAAGAACAAATTTTGTGTGAAACCACTGTTTAAAAGATATCAAGAAAAGCTTTATATACAGTGACCAAGAATGGCAGAGGAAAGGAGGGTAGTAAATCACTAGCTGGAAAGTAGACGCATTACCTTGGGTGAAGGGACAGGCAAATATACAAGAAGAGAGAAGGCAACACAACATGACCAAGGCAAAGGCAGATAGTAGGAGGCACACCAGAGTAAAAGACAACAAAGGTAAATACCATGAAATGCCTCATTCTGCAATAATAGAAAAGAGCAGACAACAGCTATAAGTGGTAGATAAATCGGCATGCAGACTGAACAGATGTGGGAAAAATAAATGAATTACAGCCTCAAGATATATACTATATTAGTTCTCTCGTGCTGCTATAGCATAAAATACCACAAGTGGGTGGCTTTAACAGAGAAATTTATGCTCTGACAGTTGAGGACACTAGAAGTATGATTCGGGGGACCAGCTCTTGGGGAAGGCGTTCTTGATCGGATCTGGAGGAATGTCTTGGTCTCCTTTCATTATCTGTGGGCCCGGCCTTCCCTGCACATCTCCATGTGTCTTGGCCTCAGTCTTTGGACACTAGATCCACTCCTGGGTCTTCTTTCTTGGAGTACCAAGGCCTTTCTTTCTCTGCTTGCTGCTCTCTCGTTTTGTCTCATGTAAGATAAAAGGTGATTTTTATCTTGAATCAGGGTCATGACTTGATTTTTTGTTGATAGTGCTGTGGGATTTGGTTCTGACTCATAGCAATCCTGTATAGGGTTTCCGAGATTTACAGCCTCGGAATTCTTTATGGGAGCAGAAAGTCTGGAGTGGCTGTGGCCTTGAACCATTGACCTTGTGGTTAGCAGTGCAATGCTTATGCTGCTGAGCCATGGTGCTCCAGTGTGACCTAAAAGAGTGGGGAACTCCACTCTAATCCCCTTACAACTGGTCCCATCAGATCGACCCTGGGGTGTAATGACATCATCACATCACTGCCAGACCACTGACAGTTATGCTTCAGCCAACTTGATGGAGTTTGGGGGACAGAATTCAATCTATGACATAAACGTTTGGCACAGGACATTTCTGCAGATGTATTTGTATGAGCTGCAAATATCTCCAAGGATATAATAGAGCAAGAGTCCTGATATGGTGCTGTAGCATCAGCACTGGACTGCTAATCACAAGGTCAGTGGTTCAAATCCACCAGCTGCTTCTCGGAAACTCTACACAGGGTCACTATGAGAATGGACTTGACGGCACTTAAACACGAACATAATAGAGCATCCGGGGGAAGAGTTCTGAAAACTTTTTGCCATAATCTAACACCTTGAGTGAATGAGTCACTAGATTTGGGGACTTAATGACCACAGTCTCAGGGGACATATAAATCAATGAGTCCAACATCATCCACAGACAAGATTTTATAGTCTATTGTGTTGAGTATAGACTGGGTCCTAAAATCCTGCAAGTGACCATCTAAGATGCAACTGTTGGTCTCTTCCTGTCCAGAGCAAAGAAGAGGGAAGAAAATAAAAGAATCAAGACAACAATTAGTCCAGAGGGCTAATGGACCATGTGATGCACAGCCTCCATGATGCTGAGACCAGCACTCGCTGACACCTGGCTCCTGAGCGCTCTGATCAGGATCACAGTAGAAAGTTCTGGACAGAGAGGGAGTGAGCCAGATGGAACAAAGCTCAGAATCGTAAATCAGATCTAGTGGAGACTGGGGAAATTCCCGGCACTGTAGTCCTTAGATACCCATCAAGCCTAGAACTGAAACCATCCATGGTGGGACCAGCTGTCAGCCAAACAGTAGCTAGGCCTATGAAGTGAGTAATAATCAACCATCTGAGACCACAAGGGCAGTATTTCCCCAGACACAGCTCAGAAGACCCAAAGAGGAAGTAAAGAAGGGAGAATAGAGTGTGTCACCGTGGAGGGAGTTGGAAGCATGTAGCCACACTGAAGGGATTACACCTCATGTCACAAAGCAAACTATTGTGTAAACTTTCACCACACGACAATAAAGTAGTTAAAAAACAAAACAAAACAAAAAGTAACCAAATCCTGTGGAGCATAGTTTTACCTGATGCACACAATCACCAAAAGTGGAAGTAAACAGCAAACTCGAGCCTCCACAGTCATGCCTGGTGTTATTCTCATTCCACCTGGAAGGACTTTTCTTCAGTATTGCCTGGCGATGTGGACCAAAACGTTAAAGAAACGTTGTGTCGTTGTTGTTAAGTGCCGTCGAGTTGGTTCTGACCCATATCGACCCTGTGTAGGGTTTCTAAGGAACGGCTGGTGAGCTGGAACCACTGACTGTGTGCATCAAACCTACCTTATGGTGCAGTGCTCTACCCCACAGTGCCACACTTATTGTAAATATTTTAAAGTAATAATTAAGTGAAAAGTTACTATAGCATTATTTGTAATAGCAGAACCTCAATAAACAACTTAGTTTTCTACAGTAGGAGAATTCATAAACTACTTAAATGTGGTGCATTCCCATGGTGGGCCATTATTATACTCTTCAAAATATTTATAAAGACACTTAAGGCAAGAAAAGTGCCTTAGCCATTTGAGAAACATTCACGGACTAGCAAGTGCAGGTCACGCTCTCAAAGTAATTTTGGGCTGGAAAGATTGATAATATGAAAGAAAAAGGCAACTACCTTCTTCAGGTCTACACAAAGTAACCTACAAAAGTATGAAATTGTGTTTTACCACCAAAATAAAAATCTGCACTATGCATCTTTGTGTAGTGATGTTAATAAAAAACCTGAGTTATGATGAACAAAATGAAGTGAACCGTTGGTGGTCATTAATAAAGGCCATGGAGGTGCTGGATTGAAGCACAGACCAAAGGATTCAATTTTGTATGATGGCTTCACAGCAAGCAGTGTAACTGTCGTAAAACAAAATAATGATTGCATCTCATGAGCTTTTGGATTACGTGTGAATGGGAGAATCCATGTAAAATTGGTAAATGGTTTAGCAGCCCGATTTGTAACAGGTACACTACCAGAGCTCCTTATAGAACTGTATACACAATATAGTATCAGTTGTGTGAGTGATAACACATATATGGGTTAAAAAAGGACCAGAAGCAAATGTTTGCTAATATTTGTTATCTCTGGATATGATTGAGGTTGGTTTTGGTTTTCTTCTGTATATTTTTTCTGTATAATATTTTCAAATATTAGTGGAATTTCTCTTTATAATCAGATAAGAATCTTAATTAAAAAAAATAATGCTCTTATATTTGTCTCTTCTGGGGCACAAGAAATCTTTACTGCTTGTGGATGTTTATGTACTATCAAGTCAATTTCAATTCCTAGTGACCCCATATAGGGGTTCCAAGGAGTGGATGGTGAGTTTGAACTGCCGACCTTGTGGTTAGCTATATAGAGCTTATCCTACAATGCCACAGAAGGGTCAAATAGCCCCTGTGAACCTGGCTTTACTACTTAGAAATTTTCTTCAGTGCCAGAGATCAGCCAACTTACCCTTGAACTTAAGGCAAACAAAGTGCAGTGCCAGCTTTCAGGCTGTGTGACATTTCTCCCTTGCTCACTGCTAGCCTCTTGGTAGACAGGATTCATGTCTTATGATGCTTTTTGGCATTTGAGTTAGAAAATGGGGCCTAAAATTTACTAAATTGTGTCAAATCTTTCTTCTTTCAGGAAATAGACAGGAGAATGACAAAGAGAATGTAAACTTGGAAAATTACAGAGACCATGAACTTCCAGATGCCCCATGCCCCATCTCAGAAGAGGCCCCTCCTCAGGCTTCCTTGAGTGGCTTCTTCAGTGAGGATGAGTCAAGACGTTTTGGAGAAGGAGAACATTTCCCTGATGCACAGGGAAACCTCCAGAGTGAGGGGAGAGGGGAGCAGCTCTCTCCCCAGGAAAAGGGCTCTGGGAAACAACTAGGCCAGCATTTGCCTAATCCTCACCCAGGAGACCTGTCCATGTTGTGGCTTGAGGAGAAGGGTGAGGCTCCACAGACAGGACAACTGAAACCCCTCATGACCCAGAAACTCCCTACCTGCAGGGAGTGTGGGAAAACCTTTTACAGGAATTCTCAGCTTGTCTTTCACCAGAGAACTCACACTGGAGAGGCATACTTTCAATGCTCCACCTGCAAAAAAGCCTTTTTGCGGAGTTCAGACTTTGTGAAGCATCAGCGAATCCACACAGGAGAGAAACCTTGCAAGTGTGATTACTGTGGGAAAGGTTTCTGTGACTTCTCTGGACTGCGCCACCATGAGAAAATCCACACAGGAGAGAAACCCTATAAATGCCCCATCTGTGAGAAAAGTTTCATCCATAGATCAAACTTCAATCGACATCAGAGGGTCCACACGGGAGAGAAACCTTACAAATGCTCCCGCTGTGGGAAAAGTTTCAGCTGGAGCTCGAGCCTTGACAAACATCAACGATCCCACCTGGGGAAGAAGCCCCTTCAGTAGCCAGACTCTTTTAGGCCATTTCTCTCTCAGGTCAATTAAAAGTACTTAGCTATTGGGATCATGTGCAGGAATTGCGTCTTGTATCGCTGGTCTATTTTTGTGGATTGGAGAAGGGAGAAACAGCAGTGGTTTTGAACTTGAATGAGAGAGATTGGGTTCCTGGACTGGATTTTGTGCCAGCTTCATTTCTTGCTTCTGCATCAGGAGAAAGAATTGTCTTCGTCTTTGAGCTCATCCCTGTATTAAGCATCTTCTGTTAGACCCCCTTGGGAATAAAAGTGTAATTTGCAGATGGAGCTTTAGAAGTGTCATCTGGGAATCGTTTTAAGAGTACAGCTGTCATTGCTGTTTATGGGAAGAATTTTAGTTCAGCCCTTTAGAACTGGGATTCTACAGTAGGTCTTCCCAATACGGAGGACAAGCTGGCACTGAGGACTGAAAGGTTCACCTGTACTTTTTGACACAAAGGGGAAGAATTAAAACGTGAATTTGAATGGTCTCGTTTTAAATAAACGTAGTAGAGTCATGCCCCATCTTGTTTGTGTCTGAAATGTTCACTCTACTGACTATTTCTCAAAAGGCATGTTCTTAGGTGGCTGCTGTTAAGTACTGTCAAGTCAGTTCTGACCCATTGTGACCCTGTTTAGGGTTTCCAGGGAACGGCTGGTGAGCTTGAACCACTGACCTTGTTGTTCAAACCAGCCTTGCGGTCCAGTGCATTAATCCACAGCACCACACCAGGACTTAAAGAAGATGTCAACTGGTTGAACTCCTAAAGGAACCCATACAGGCCTGCCAAGTTTAGAAAAGATGATGAAAGCAGTGCTAAGTGCTAACCTAAAGGCCAGGTTATGAGAACTTGGCCACTACTTGGCACTGTTTTGTCTCGGGTGCCCACTTGCTTAGTTGCTTGTTGTTAAGTGCCGTCGACTCATAGCAATCCTGTGTTCCACAGAATGGCTTATGGGTCTGAACCACCGATCTTGTGGTTTCAAACCAGTCTTGCAGTTGGTTGCTTATCCTACAGTGCCACACCAGGATTCCACTTGCTAGCATCCCTCAATTGTCTTCTTTTTCCTAACACTGCACTTACATGATCATTTTTGCCGAGGGACTCTGTGCTTTAAAATTATCTTCATTATCTCATTTTGTCTGTAGGTATTAGGACGAAATCAATAGGATTGATCTTACTGATTGCCTAGAGGCCTATTCACATGTGATCTAATCTGTACAAATGACCTAGTCTTCCAAATACATTTGCTGAAAAGTATCCTCTTGCTCATGTATGGTGAGACCGCCACCTTTCTTCATTTGGTCCTAATGCCTGACCATATTGTACTGTTCAAGGTGAGGATCTAGAAAGAAGATGTTAGGAAGGAAGACCGAGTAATTCTAAGCAGGGGAAAAAAAAAAAAACTTTGGTAAAAAAGGGGAGTGAGTTGCTGGCTAATGGGAGAGAGAGATGGGAAAAACTCAAGTTGGAGTCCCTGAATTTCAAGAGGAATCTGCTAACTCCTTTATAGCATGAAGATGTGGAAGACCCCATTCAAGGAGATATAGGGAACATGGAGTTGGCGTTGGATTCTGTACTCTGAATAGGAAAGATTTGTGGGATGGTGGGATTTGAAGGTTTAACTCAGGGATTTTCAAAGTGTGGTCCTCAGAACAGCAGCATCTGTAACTTTATAGATTTAGTGAACCAGAGAGAGACTTGAGTGAATGAAAAATTCTGAGATGTGGGGCCCAACAACTTCTGTTTTTACAAGCCCTCCCAGGGGATGCTGATGCCTGCTCAAGTTGGAGAACCACTGTTCTAAACAGTAATTGATTCAAGATGAAGCCTTCAGGGTGATGAGGGGATAATGAGCCTAGAAGAAATACTGGGCCCAACAGGTATGTCTTACCACACAAGCTTCCCTGTAAGAGCTCTCTGTACCCCATCAAAATTGTGGAACCCTTTTGAGATTCCAGTAAATTTTTTTTTTTGCAGAAGAAGATTTAGGACATTTAGGATAAAAAGCTTTGTTGTTGGTAAGTGAGGTAGACTCACTTTTGACTTAACGACCTATATAGGGTCTCCCAAGAGCAGCTGGTAGGCTTGAACTGCCGACGACCTTGCACTTAGCAGTCCAGTACCTTATCCTACAGCATCACACCAGGGTCCATTGGAGGAAAGAGTTTTATTTGGGTTCCTCTTAAATATGTGAAGTGTGTCAGAAATTCAGGGAAAACACCTGCCCTGTTCATAGCTTATAGTGTCCTTAGCAAATAGTAGGTGTTAGACAGAAAGGTATTGAATGGAAAAAAAAAGGTATTGAGTGGATATGTGGATTAATGAAGGATAAATATCACAAAATATATACTTTTATGGTATGGCGCTCATTGTAGGATAAACCACTGGACCACAAGGCCACTTTGAACCAGAAGGTTGGCAGTTCAAACTCAGTAGCTGCTCCTCACTGAGGACCATATGTAAAGTCACTATGAGTCAGAACCTATTCGATGGCACTTAACACAATACTCTAAGCTGGTGTTTGGAACCTAACACTTGTTTATGTAAAAAACTTCATTGAAACACAACCACACTCAATTTCTTTTGCATATGGTCTGACTTCTTCGGGGCTCCAGTGGAAGAATTGAGTAATTTCCCAGAAACTATATGACTGCAGAGCCAAAAGTTTTCCCAGCCCCTGATCTAGAGCAGTGCATCTGAGAGTGCAATGTGCATACAACTCCCCTAGTGAGTAAAATGCAGATGTGGATTCTTGAGGGATGCTGATGCTGCAGGTCCAAGGACCACAGGAACTAGCCCGAAGCTGGAACATTGAGTATATTGCTTTATTACAAGGCCAGCCCTCAGGTGTTTGTGGAAGGTTTCTCTGGGCCTCCTGGTCATTTATGACTGCCGCTCTCAAAGACTGGACCAGACACAGTTGAAGAATAAATCACTTTATTAGCCAAGGTTCAATATTAGGGAATTCTCTCCTGGTCCCTAGTCCCATGCTTCTCTAGCTCAGCATCTCACTGATGCTCATGCATTTGGAGATGTGCCTGAGGAATTCTACAGAATTGTGAGAGGAGGTCAAGCCTTACTCATCTGCCCCTGTGGGCAGCCCCAGCCCACCCTCTTCTCTTGCTTTCTCAGAGGCTCTGCAGGAAGCTAGATCTGGAGAAGCAAGGCTACTCCTGCTAGAACCCACTTGGATGGGGGCTCCTTAGTTTTCAAGCTGAAAGTCCACACATAGGTGGGTCCCCTCTGGCAAGTCTTGTACAGAGGGCAGGGGTAGACACTGCGGCAATCCTGCTTATCCGAAGGGATGGCCTTGATGAAGATCACAGGCATGGGGGGAGTCAGGTCCTTCAGCTTTGCCTCTGTAATGATCCCAGCCTGAGGACAAGAACATGAGAGGAGCCCTCTTAGATCAGACCCAGAACCCAGCCAGCCAGCCTGACTTCATCATCAGAAGATCTAAGAGACATGGGATGACCTTGCTGCCTTTGGACCTACCCCTCCAGGTTCTTTAAACAATAACCAATGAAATGGATCTGGTTTATGGAAACCATTTCTGTTTTTGTCCAACCTGAATCACTTCTTGAAGTACATTCCCCAAAACAACGCATGACCTTTTAGAAACCCCCTTGTATAAATTAGCGCTGTTAGAACTTGACTTTCTCCTTTTATTTTTTAATTCATTCATTTAACAAACATGCTGAATATTTGCCAGATGCCATGCCTGGTGTGGTGCTGTGGGCTAATGCGCCAGACTGCAAAGCTGTTTGAACTGCAGGGTTGGTAGTTCAAGCTCACCAGCTGTTCCTTGGAAACCCTATACAGGGTCACTATGGGTCAGAATCAACTCGATGGCACTTCACAACAACAACATGGTAGGTGCTGGGAATTTACAGATAAGCACGACATAGTCCCTACCAGAAAATGTCTCTTTTCGTTTTATTTCCCGTTTCCGCCTCTCTTCAGTTTCAGATGTGAGTTCACCCTCCTGCTTGCCCAGAGGTTCAAGGTTAGCTAAAGGTGTAAGTAAGCTTAGGACCTTATTACATCTTTCTTGAGCATGTACAGAGCCCTGGGCACGTGTATATATATAGTCCTGTCCCTGGGTACTGTCTCTGAGGTTCCCATGGATATGTCAGAGTTTCAAAAAACAAAAACAACCTATAGACGTCATGAGTGGCACAGATGTGCTCAAATACTAACTGGAAGCCAAGGATGGTGGTTTGAACCCATGCAAAGGAGCTTTGGAAGAAAGATCTGGCAATCTCCTTCCAAAAGTAGACTGAAAAACTGTATGGAGTACAGACGTGCTCTGCCACACCAGGAACTGGAATCAGTTAGATGTCAACTTGTTTTTGTTTTTTTTTTTGGTGTGATGGGCATCTCATTTCCAGCTTTTTTGTTTAACCTTTTGGTTACTCTGTTATTTGCCCCATTGTTAGCTGCTGTCTCAGGCAATCTCATCATTAAAACAATTGCCTTTCAAAACCACCACCACCACAATAAAATAGGCCCCTGGGTAAAAATTTCTAGGAATGAGGTTTTAAAGACTTTCTAGTCAGGTTTTGCTTGTTTGAAGATGTTCCAGGCTGCTATTTTTCATTGTGATTCCAGGCTATTGGTTTTTAAGGCTGCTGGGGGTGGGGGAGCGGGGATAGGACAAGTTAAAAGGCCACAAAACGTGTTCATTTACTGAAGTCCATTCATTTTTTTCTTGAACTAATATGACTTGTATTGGCATAAACCTTTAGCTAATTTCAGAGTTCTGACAAAGTTGACTGAGCGATTTTATTGTTTTATGGAGGAG